TGGTAGAGTCCCCATTAGAAAGCTCACATAGGCGAGTCGCCGATGAAGCCTGCACGCCCGTTGAAAGTCTTGCGCGTGGAGGCGATGAGACATGAGATACACATTCCTCGATCGCCCTTAAAGTTCCCGTGCTTCTAGGACTTGCGTGCGCGAAACAGGTACTAGCGTACGGGGCCAATGAAAATATTTTGTAAAAGTCAAAAGTATGTACGCAGCCCTTCTGTCATTTCTGCGGAGTCCATAATTTAGTTTCTTTCACACAGTTCCTGTTTACGTGCTATCCTGGATATCTCCAAACATATTTTCAAGCTTTAAATTCTTGAAAAGAGTTCATTTCCCCTGACCCAAGAAGGAAGACGATGTTTAGCATAATTTAGAATGCTAATTCAAAAGCAATTAACATTTTCTACTCCTATTACAAATTAGCTTCGCTAACTAGAGACTATCGATTTAAAGTATATCGTGTGTACGAGCTTTAATTTCATGTAATGGCGTTTTTTTTTAATAAAGTTTGTAAACCTCTATATCCCCGATACAGGTAAGCTGGTTCGCCACATAAACGATAAAATTGGAATAAAGAAGTGTTTTACATAATTCCATGGTTTTCCTTTTGTAGTATTTGAATATAAGCTAACGCTCACTGAATAATATTCAATACATAATATGATTACCACCAAAAATCCATATAGATAATTATTCAAACCCAACTTTTGGTGCAAATATGATGTTTAAAGCATCCATACATCTCAAACTAATGGGCTGCATTTATCGACAAATTTCTTGTGATTAAATATGTATTCTTGTACATGGCAAATCATTTCGATAAAATCTATATTCCACTACGTTTTCATAATTCCTCACGTCTATCAGTTCGATCAGATTTTCATGTCTGAACCGTCGGCAAATTCGTATAGCATAGCTGGGCGTATTTGGTTGGACTACTCCGTAATGCCCAAAGTGAGGGAAATGGCTCTTTATTAACCATTCAGTTAGCGTTAAATATTATCTACTTTATATATAAAATTCATTGTGCGTGAGTAAACCGCATCATCACTGGCAAACCGCTGGACCAATTGAGACCATATCCACACCATATGTTATTGAGGTGGCGAGTAAGGTTTTAAGTTATGTTTCATTCCGATAGGTGGCACTGGAGTCTTAACTTCTATATTTACGAGCCGATTTTGCTCATACCTGAAGGAAATGATTGTTGGTCTATTGAGACCATATTCACACTATATTTTATTGAGGTGGCGAGTAAGTTTTTTAGTTATGTTTTATTCCGATAGGTGGCGTTGGAGTCTAACTGATATATTTATGGAAAAATGTTTATAATAATTGCATGAAATGTTAGTTGATATAAAAAGAAAAATGCCAGTGATACCACGGTCAAACTTCGTTCGACGTGCCAGACGTAATATAGAGTACGCATTGAGAAAGCAAAATAGAACGTGAATACGCACTTCACAAACTGAAGAGCCACGAACACAAAATCGAGAAGCAAACAGCGCGATCATAAGAGAAAGACGTGCACGCCAAACAGATTCTTATAGACATTTATACGCAGAAACAACACAGTTCAAGACACACTTCGATAATATGACGCTTTGCAATATCCACTTATATTCTGGGAAGTAGAGGAATGGATATAATTTCAATTATAAACAAATAAAAAAAAGGGTGCTGAAACCGAAAAAAAAAAACTAAGTGATATGAACTTCTATACGTATCGAAAGATTACACATGAGTTTTGTCATTGTGCAACAAAAACTTATGAAAAATCATTTAATAAGCGGTGTTGAATATTTAGTTACAGATTTATTATGTCAATTAAATGTAATTATAACATGTTAAACATGAAACTTTTATATCTAAAAACAATTATCCTTATGAAACACAATACACGTGACATTTGCGCCTAATTTACTATGATACACAATGCACATGACATTCACACTTCATATTTTAAATTTGGCTTTTAAAATTTAAATACAACAGATGGCGTTATATGCATTATGGATTTTTAATAAAAAAAGAGGGGCGGAACAACGTTCGCTGAGATCAGCTAGTTATATTTATAATTTCATAACAGCTCAACCTGTATTAGTTGTGTCCTAGTGATATTCCGGTAGCTACACAATCTTCTTACAATGTCCAATATTTTTGCAGAGAAAAATTTCTGCCTACTACACTCGGCGAAGTTAAATTTTTGTATAATTAAAATAAAAGTATAATTTGAGGAAGCACTCAGCAAAGTGTTCCAGTTGTAATTAATTTGGAAAGTAAAAAAAAAAAAAACCGTGAGGCGTTATTGAGAGTTATGAAAATTAAAGCGAGTAGCTATGGTAGTCTATACCAGTGTCGTGGTAATTAACTCTCGATTTACAGCTCTCGCTATTCAAGCCAGAAACCCAGGTTGGCTCAGCATCCATCTCAGTTATGATTGCTTGGAACTTATAAAATATCCCACAAATTTTGCACAAAATAATATTAATGTTTTATTGAAACTGACGCTATCAGACACACTAAAAAAAAAAAAACAACACTACGCTAGTGAAATTTCAGTGACGTTAAAATAATACACTTTCCTTAAATCGGGTTTTAATAAACTGTAGTAAGTGTGTGAGTGAAGAGATTTTGCGGCTCTTAACAGCGAAGTCTTGAGAGCCGATGACGGTAATTGAGGTGAGTATGTAGCAGCGTCGAAATGAAAGGGTGGAGAAACCGGGAGATCCCCGACAAAACCCGCCGAGCAGCGGCGTCTTCCGGCACGATTCCCACATGCAAAATTCCAGCCGGGGATTGAACCCGGTTCGCAGTGAGCTGGCTTTATTTGTGGTGAAATTTTGGCTTTCGCATCCCTTACACTTAATCACGTACAGAGGAAATGTTATAAATGCACTATCTGTTAAATACTTGAGACTACATTCAGATTAAGTAAACAATCATTGAAAATATTATTGATATTTATGTAAGAAACACTGACGTTACTGGGTCATCGCGTATGAGCTACCGAACGAAAGAAACGCACAAACCCCAGTAAAAACACAATAAGAAATTAGTTAAATGCCCATTTTCATTAGATAAGTTCACGTCCACGACAGGTGCGTGTGATGGCAGTGTTATAGTATTATTACCAAGAATATATTAATCGATTTTCGCCGTTGCTAGAGGTGCGTGAATTTTGCGAATCATAGGGAAAAAGTAACTAGGGCCTCGGAAGTGATAACCTTATCGTGTACAGCCTATACACAGATTACAGCTGTTTATTCATTGGCTGATACCATGGTCATGGGGTGTCCCTTTTTATTCGACTTGGTTGTACATTATATGGTCACGGCATTGCTTCATGTTTGTTACTGGCCAAACTGTTCTTCAAGGTGCACCCAGGTAATTGTGGACGAATCATGTAAGTTTGAAGTTTGACCTGCCACCGAAATAAATTAGTGAAACTCACGTGCCTATATCATTTGCCAAATATTAAGTCAGAAAATTAAGAACAAAGAAGATACACACCAATAAACTAATAACAACCTCTTGAAGAGACGGTACATAATTCGTGAGCAAAAAGTATCCTAGCAGTGGTAAAAACTTTAATAACTAAAAAGTAACTACACAAGAAAAGTTTGATAAAAACTAAACAGAATAAAACTACAACAGATAACGATTTTCGATATACGTTTGACATCGGGCATTTGTATTTTCATTGGGGCACCACGTTACTAATGATAACCAAAAATCAAAACTACCCGACCTTTTGAATGGTATAAATATCAATTTCCTCAACTAGAGCCCATTCAAGTTTTCATACTAACTTTTTTTAAAAGTTCGTCGTCGAGCCTTCAGCATGAAACATTGTGACATCTCTGTTCGTCTGGTTTTGCAGTTTGAACACCCAGTATTTACCAGTTAGCACGGATTTCGAGGTACTCTCGCGTAAAGGCTGTTCACGATAAAGTGAGCACTTTTGACATCAACCTTGGAAAAATGTCACTGCCCATTCCTACATATATTTTAACGGGTGCACTGAGTGGCATGCGCCCGGTAAAGTTGGTAACGATGGAGATGGAAAGTATTACGAAATGGTAACGTCGAATAAAAAGTGTTAGGTAACCATTTATTTCTTACGGTTTTCTTAAAATGCCTCTGTGCAAAAATTAGCAGAGTTATAAAAAGTTTACTTTTCTAATAATTTCACCGTTTAGCTTGACCGACGCATGAATAAAGTGATGAGGCCTATAGCAATATTAATTTTATATAAGGTGGAAGAATACGCAACGTGCATACAACTAGATCTTAAACAGGGCTTTCAAAAGTTCTCATTTTACAGTGAATATTCTTTAAATAGGTTAACAAAGAAATTACTCTATTTTTTCCAGAACATAGTTCCAATAAGGCAGCGAGGGGTTATCTGTTTTCAAATGTTGTTCTTGAACATCCCGTGGAAAAGGTGAGGCGATTAAAGGCGACATGCATCTGTTTCCACACTGAAAAATATAATTTTTTGGCAGCCACAAAAATATTTTGCTGGTATTCACCCTGCCAAATTTTTTGTGGCGTACAGAAAAAATTTTGTTGCTGCCACAAAATAAGTTTTTAGTGGCCACGAAAGTTTAGTGGCCACTGAAAACATTTATTTTGTGGCAGCTGCAATTTTTTTGTGTACATCACAAAAAATTTGGCAGGGTGAATACCAACGAAATAATTTTGTGGCCACCACAAAATATTTTTTTCAGTGCAAGGATTTGTAAATCACTACGTTAATGGAAGTACGTACAAACAGGAGCCGACCTCCGTGGCGCAGTTGCTTGCGCGCCGGCTCACGGCGCGGGGGTTCTGGGTTCAAGTCCCGCGCAAGCATGGGTGTATATTTGTGTACGTCCGTCTGAGTCCTCCTTCGTGACGCTTACATCAAACACGCGCTGCCAAACGTCAAACACACACTCTATCTAACGGCAAATGTATCGGTCACTGAAAATAAATTTAACTTTAAGAGAGAAAAAAAGATGTCCCAGCGGTCTAAGGCGTTGCACTCAGGTCGCAATCCATTTCCGTGGGCGTGGGTTCGAGTCCAACTCTCGGCACTACTTTTGCACTACGTCGGGCATGCTAATGAAATGGATGAAATATAATCGTAAATTAAGAGAAATTCGAATTCTGGCTGCAATAAATGATATTTAAAATGTGATGATATGTTATTCCAGTAATCCGGTTATATGCAATCACACTAAGGGAGGTAAGACATTGAAATATGTTCAGCATTTTGCAAAGGAGCATACCAAAATGGCACGTACCTGTGGTTAAGTAACTGCATAGTTGTAGGCTTATGGTGTTATGTAATGTACTTCCGCACAAGTATTCGTACAAACCAAAGCAACAAAAAAACTATGTATTTCATCAAATATTAACATTGTTACAAAGTGAACCAAAACTTTAAATCAATTGCAAAGAAAGGTGTGTGTGGTCCGTAGACGTACACGCGTAGGGGCAGCCAAATATGTAAAACAAAATGTATAGTGTAAAGTTACATAAATCTATGAGAAAATACGTGAATGATAGTGAGTACTGCTGTGACACCTAAAGTGATGTAGGCAGACTTGTGTGAAGGAACATGCAAAGGTATAGTGTAAAGTTACATAAATCTATTAGCAAATACGTGAGTGAGAGTGAGTACTGCTATGACACCTAAAGTGATGTAGGCAGACTTGTGTGAAGGAACATGCAAAGGTATAGTGTAAAGTTACATAAATCTATTAGAAAATACGTGAGTGAGAGTGAGTAATGCTGTGACACTTAAGTGATGTAGGCAGACTTGTGTGAAGGAACATGCAAAGGTATAGTGTAAAGTTACATAAATCTATTAGAAAATACGTGAGTGAGAGTGAGTAATGCTGTGACACTTAAGTGATGTAGGCAGACTTGTGTGAAGGAACATGCAAAGGTATAGTGTAAAGTTACATAAATCTATTAGAAAATACGTGAGTGAGAGTGAGTACTTCTATGACACCTAAAGTGATGTAAGCAGACTTGTGTGCAGGAACATGCAAAGGTTCACACACTTACCAATTCTTTGCAAAATACTTCTCACGTCGTAGAGTGGGCGCCAATATTATATGCATAGCACAGGGACTGCAACACCTTTGATTTGTCGTCTCAGTAGAAGTTTTTACTGGCTGCAAAATATACACATAATATGAAGTTGTATAGCTGTGCAATATCTTTGCTGTAATTCGTAAGAGATGAAAATTTGTGTGATTCCCTTTAACGTATTCCTCTCTCAGCACACGATGTTAGCGTTTTCCTTGCAGTTACTCTCGACTGTTTAATAATGTGTAACCATACTTTAAAAAATAAGGCAGGTTTGATATAGGTTGTTCACGGTAAAATGAGCATTTTTGAAAGCCCTGCTCAAGATCTACTTGGTTACACGTTGTGTATTCTTCCAACTTATGTAAAATTAAAATTGCTATGGGCCTCATCACTTTATTCATGCTTCGGTCAAATGAAACTGTTAAATTATTAAGAAAGTAATTTCTTTACTAATCTGCTTTAATTTTTACTTCGATGCATTATAAAAACAGAAAGCGAAGGAATAAATTTTAAGTTATCACAGATGATCAACTAACATTTTTTATTCGACGTTAGGATGTGGAACTACTTTCCTTTCATCGTTACCAACTTTACAAGGTGAATGTCACGCAATGTGCCTATTAAAATATAGGCCTATGCATTCAGCGGCAGTGACTTTTTTCTAAGGTACATTTCTAAAGTGCTCACTTTATCGTAAACAGCCTTTACGTAACTTTACCAAGGTTTCCGTAGGCAAAGTTCAGGCTGAGAACGTTACGTTAGCTTAAAACAAGATGGCGTCACCTCTAAGAAAGAAATCTTCGTGGAAAGTATTATGGCCGACGCTAGGTACGCAATCCTTATACCATACATGTTAAGCTTTACTTGAAATTAGTCTAGACATTCTGGGAGCTCTCGACGATGTTGGTTCAGCTTTATTAAGCAACCAAACCTTGACGTAGGACAATATTACAGCTGTAGGAATACATTAGGGCGTCTCAACGTAGCAGAGTCATCGCTCTTACACTGACGTGACCCTAAAGATTCTACCTCCTAATTACTAGAATAACCTAGCAACAGGGCTTATATCAGCTCTCACACTTGCTGAAACTCTTATTAAAATACTTCAAATAACGAGTGAAGTGCTAACTACCTAAAATATAATTTAATAACCTACGCTACACCAACGTTCAGGCGAGGGTCCTCTTTCCACGTCTGGTCCATTTGGAGGTTGCTGGTGAAGAGAGCGTTAGCACACTTGGATGGAGCTAGCTTGAGAGGGACCTAATATTCCAGCCAATGGGAAGTCAGGATTCGAACCTGTGGTTCAATGGGAATCTGAAACCCCTTCAAAACCCCGTACGCACCACTTTCAACGTCCTAACTGCTAAAAAGGCATAGAATACATGGTCTCGAAACATACAATAAGATATTAAATAATCAGAAATATTCACAAAATCAGACCATAAAACAAGAATTTAAATTATTAAATATTTTTTAAAACTGCAAATCTAGCTAAGTCATATCTCAAACGTAATAAATTGACATCGCACATATTAAATAAAATAGCCTAACGTGTTAACAATAATAAAAATAAGAAAAATATTAAAACTAAAGAAGAATGCAAATTACAAGACAAATTGCATATGCTGTAGGTGTATATTCAGTCTTTACATATGGAACATACAGAAATTTGTTACTTGGACGGTAAAAAATATTGTAATATAATATGTTATTTTCTTATGCAAAATAAAGTACATTATTTTATATGGTACAATCAAGGCAGTGTTTAATTTACAAATAGCATACCAAAAAACTAGAAACTATTTCTTATTAGTCGTTGGCAACACATCACTGCTCTCACTTTTCAAATTCGTATTTAATATTAAATAAATACTACAAGTTATAGAAGACACTAGGTTAAAGTTTCATTTATTCACGAATACAACACTTTAAAGTTAATTACAGTGTTATACGTTACTCTTAGAGTGATTTTTCACATATTAGTTTCAAAACATTCGAAGAAACCGTGAATGGACTAAACTGCAATACAAGCTGGCATGTAGCCTCCTAGTGGGCAGTAAATTGATTTTAAAAAAAGTTCTTAATACTTGATATTGTACACCATATTTACAGTCCCAGCAAATCCACGATTTCATTTTATTTGGATGACACATAAATAAAATGGTCAAGCCCGTGGAAAATTTAACCTAAAAATAGTTCAGGGGATACTAAAATAAAAGTAAAATTTATTATAAGCAGAACTTTCAAAAGTGCTCAGTTTACCCAAAAGTGCACTTCGTAATTTGCGTATTTCATCGTGTGAAGGTTGAATATTTTGTAAACTCAAGTAAATCTTGGAGAAAATAAAGCACGCCTTTTGACAATGGAAATTAGTCTAAATAACTATTGAACACTACAAAAAGGATAAAGAGCAGAATCATTTGTTCGGTCAGGATGGCCGAGAGGTCTAAGGTGCTTCGTTCAGTTCGCAGTCCGTATCTGTCTCGGCGTGGGTCCGAATCCCATATCTGTCTCGGCGTGGGTCCGAATCCCATATCTGTCTCGGCGTGGGTCCGAATCCCATTTCTGACATCGCTCCTATTTTATCTGCGTTTGTGGCAGTGGATAACTCGGTGTAGTGCATACGATCGATGCATGCAATAACGCGGAGGAAACGGGATTTTCTGATGCATTGACTCACTGTTATATTTTCGTGGAGGTGGATTCTATAATGAGTGATCTCCGCCATCTTGAAGTGCATCACATGATACGCGGTTGAAGTTGTAGCAACTGTATGGCAGTATTCAAAGTTAAGCCGTTCGAGGATATTTTGTGATGCAGATGATGGAGGCCTATCAGTTATGTCATGCCCCTTAGCGTGTCCTATAGCTGCAGCATCACCTTCAGAGGAATTCTGAAAGGGCAATAGAGGCTACTTGGAGTAGTGATTCAGACTTAGAAGACTGGCTTTCTAGCAGACTTTCTGGTTTTCGTAGCAGTAAGCAGTAGCTATGCTTTATACTGTGGAAGTGGCTAAGTGAGAGTGCTGAAATATATATATATATATATATATATATATATATATATATATATATATATATATATATATATATATATATATATATGGTATGGTTATATTAATAATTAATACTATTAGATAAGTTATTTACCATTATGTTCAAGTATTAGTGTATTTTAGTCATTTTATCTGTTATTGTCATTAACGAATGTTGAGATAATTGGTGGTTGTGAATAATAATGGTTGATTAATTTGACACGTGTGTTTTGATTATTTATTAGATATTAGAGCCCATATCAATTTTAGAAAATGAGTATTATGTGTTTTCCTTTCTATTTATGATTAGTAAAATTGTGGTTACTTGAACTAACTTAATCTAACCTATATATGCCATTGCTGTATCCATATTCGTGGATCAATAGCCGTTACTATCTAGTTCACCTGAACGTTACAACGCATTTAAACACCAAAACATCACAAACAATAACAACAAAATGTCAAGAAATAAGTTTATATACTTAACATACTAAAATGAGCCACGATAAACAGAGCTAATGTTAATTTCAAATTTATAAATCTATCGAATAGTGTTAATTTGTTTACGGTGCCCTTAAAATTTCGGTTTATCCATTTACAGACATGTTTCTCTTGCACTGAAATATTTTATTGATATGTTACTTTTTCTAGTGATACATTGTTTCTTAGATTGATCATTATGTATTCTTCCGCCAAATGTAAACTTAACACTGCCATGAGCATGATCACTTCATTCATGCATAGACCAAACGAAGCTCAATAGTTGTTACAAATGTAATTTTTTTTAAATTTACTAGTTATTACCATTATGTGCATTAAAAATCACAGCAAAACAAATCAGTATTCACTAATGTTTACTTACAACATTCAATCGAAGTAAAGATATGTAAAGGCTGTTCACGATAAAGTGAGCACTTTTGAATTCAACCATAGACATATGTCACTGCCCCTGCCTGCATACATTTTAATGGGCTCACTGAGTGGCATGCGCCCAGTAAAGTTGGTAGCGATGGATGAAATGTAGTTTCATGCCTTTACGTAGAAGAAAAAGAACTAAGGTAACAATTTGTGATAACTTAAATAATTTCTTCCACTTTTTTTTATGCATCGAAGAGTAAAAATGAGCAGGTTCGTCTAATATTTACATTTCTAATAATTACACAGTTTCACTTGACCGGCGCATTAATAAAGTGAGAGGGCCATTCCAATGTTATTTTTACATAATGTGGAAGAATACACAACATGTACACAAGTAGATCTTAAGCAGGGCTTTCAAAAGTGCTTATTTTACCGTGGACATCCTATAACTACTTTCGCTCTGTCGTTGCCAACTTCACTCGGCTTATACCAAACATTGTGCAGATGCTAGCAGTGACATTTTTCAAATGTCGTTTTCTAAAGTTGTCACTTCACCGTGAAGTCTACAGTGCTTTGTAAAGTTAACACGCCAAGAGAGTGCTTTCGCACTACGCAAGCGCAATAACGATGCGTTTTTTGATCCACCAGTGTTCGTGGACATGCCTTGGAGATGTGTACAATCGGGGTAATTTGGTATTTATCTTAGAATTTCGCTACATGAAACATTAAGGGCCACTTTGAAATATTCGCGTTAAATTTCTTGTTAGACTTAGATCAGAACTTTAAGAGCGATCCATCCGTTTGTGTATTTTACTGGCTCCTGTCAATATTAATGTTGACTTTAAAGTACTCCCGAAGTTGTCGTTTGTGAGTTTAACTAAAGGTTTTGAGTGAAGTTTCGAGAGCGTAAATTATGTTCATAAGGATTATACCAACATAACTTTTGCAATAACTGAATGAAAGTTATGATGAATATTACAAAATACTAAAAAAAAAAAAAAAATAATTGTTTCGTACCTACGTGAAGGCAATGCATTTTCAAAGTGACTATAACAAAATATTAAACTAACGTAGGATTCTTGAGTTAGGCCTTGTGTAGTAAAAAGTGAATAACCTAATTAAATTGGTGAACTACCTGTCCAGCGATTCGAATAGCTACACCAAGCCAAACATCAACAGAGCCACAAAAGTGCACAATTGACTACAACTATACAATAAACGAGACATGTTCCTATTTTCTGCAGTATCGCAGTCGAATTTAGCAGGTAGTACTTCGATGGCTAAATGCAACATTAATCTTATACGGTCTGCAACAGTGTCTTCGATTATTTTGGATTCCCACCACCTTCCCACATACTTTAGTTTCAGTTGTTAGCTGACCGTTGCCGCGATATTCTCTAAAGATTATCGTAATTTGCTTTCAAATTATTTAATGTTCTTGGTAGAATACCACTTTGGGAATTGAACATTTTGGCTGTCATAAATTTTCCACAGCCAAAATATCTGTGGGACGTAAAACATTTTTGAGAAATGGTCACATTGTATAGTATATTCACACCAAATTGTATACAACTGAAAATCCGTTACTCCGTCCCAGGCTTTACTTTTCTCACGTCATTTTATAGCATCTGTTTGCTTGTTTTCAATCTTTTAATTTGCTTGGTTGATTAATCAACCAGCAAACTTTCTTCCACAGGAGTAAAATTAATACATCTTGGCCAACATAGGAAAAATAACAGCAAACTTTTTTTCGACGCATGGCATAGAGAACATGATCTACTAGCCAGTAGGAATTCGTGTTGTACAAAGTTTAGCTAACAGCTACAACGAAAAGGAATACACCCTGTCGTAATTTATCGAAGAGTGTGAAAAATGTCTGTAAAGCTGTCGTTATCGTAATGAACCTGTAAAAGTGGCCCTAAATCTCTCTGCTGTATGTCAGAAGCTCGTCCAACTGGACCGTCGCTGGTGAAGGACGTGTTGGGGCTACTGCCATTCCTAGAGTATAAGGGTCCAAGTGGATTCATAGTTACGGGAAGATCTAGTTATGCCCAGGAATATAGCCTCTTCTAGACCAATGGAACCCACCGCATTCTAGTGGCACCACTGAGTAACCTCCGGAGATGACGTTAACAATAAAGGGAAAACTCCCGGGGGGGGGGGGTTGGTCCCCATTTCATGTTTACCAAAAATGAATCTCCCATACTGAGCTTGAAACATCGGCAGTAGTTTTTCTGTGTGTGTTTATTTAGTCTCATGGTCTGCAATGAACATAATTCAACCAAACCAACATAATAACATGGGCAGTAGTGATGATTTTGGCTTTGTCAACCCCTGTGCAGCCAAAACGTTTAAGCCCAAGCAAGAATTTAAAAGTGAGGAAATACAAAATGTAGGGGAATGTGCGGGACTGCTGGTAGGGGCGTGCGTTCGTTGAGATGTTTGAACACTTTAACTTGTGCTCGACGAGCATATGTCTCTCTAGCAGTCAGCAAAACTCACGAGTGTCAATGTAAAGGAAGGGATAGCACAGGGTGACCTATGACCCCACTTGACTACTGTGTTGGACATCAGTAGCATCCATCCTTGCAGATGTTCGTTTCGGCCCAGGTCAGACGATGTTGGCCGGCAGTATATAGGCTGTTCACAATAAAGTGAGCACTTTTTGAGGCCCTTCCAAAGAGCACTAACCACTAATAAATGTGGCTTATTGGAGAGTCGGACGTTAACATTTTGGAGAGGTGAAATTTATACACCTGGTTCAATGCAAACCACCAGGGAGAGGGGCAGGTGTCTCCGGCGACAGATACAGAGAGGTTCTGGTAAATTAACTGACTATTGCAATGAAGTGATTGATACAAATATGTTGGCCACCGGAGCGCGTTCGAACGCAGCTTTGCCGCCGCAAGTTCTCAGACGCTACTATTGGGTCCGGCTTGGCGACTAACCAGCTCTGGTGGGGGTGAGCGCGCCAAGCGGCCACTATTATCTCCCAACACTTGCAAACAACATTTATTACACAGAAACCCTTGCTTACCTGCAAAATTTTGAATACACTAAATTAACCTTGCATTAAATGTGGCATTACAAAACATTAAACACTACGATGAAACGAAACGGGGATGAACACACGTGAGGTGAAATAACACAGTGCAATATAACCCTTAAACACAACTATCCTGGCCAGTTTTTATTTCAGGGCGCTTTGCTGTCCTTCATTATTATTAGGGGTTCTTACGGCATTTTTCGTTAAGCCCTTTTGCCTGGTAGGACAATTTGCATACCCTTGTCGGCACTGGAGTGCATCACCGTACACTGGGGTGCACGGGCGTTCTCCGCTCTTACCTCTTCCTCGCTGCACTAAGCGCACGGGCGCGTTACGTAGCACACACATGTAGCGTGACTTGCTAACTGTGCTGGGCTCGGTGCTTGACCGGACAAATGGTCTTAGGAGGCGAGGGACGCAAATTATTGTGAAATAAATTACACCAACGGAAATTAGGATTTTGCAAGAGAATCAATATTGTAAATAAAAAAATGTGATGCCAGTAAAATGTATTAGACCTAGTCTCCAAGGTACAAATACTAATTCACTCAAGATTTTTACACCACCAAAAATTT